TCATAGATAGCCAAACCGAAGCGGAACCGGATACTAAACAATCATCGGGCCCATCTCCGGTGGACACTCACACCTCGTAAAATCACGGAGCTTTCCGTCCAAAAATCTACTTGATGTGATTTTTTTCATCATCGCAACGCGCTGACCCATTGATGAAATAATGGAATGTAGATTGGTTAAGGAAGGAAGTTGCGTTCGGAAGTGACTGGCCAATTAATGCTTTTTCATGTGTCAAGACGAATTATACGCGCACTTTTTATAGTTTTTCATACGTTCCGTGCGACAGATTTTCTAATTTAACGCACGCTTTTGAAACGTGTCCGTCAGGATATTACCAGACAAATTAGTACGCGTTGAAATTTTTTTATATGTTAATGTATAAGTGTGTCTCACTGCCAAATTAGTCGTCAATGTCTTATCGAATTATAACTCCATTTCCTCTTTCATTGTAACTGCTACTTAAGATAATGGAGTTTGTACTACTTTCCTCAATTAAATCGTCGCAGATAAATCTTCAAACCCACCAAGTTATTTATAGCATTTCGCTGGCTGTTTGTGTGATTTATGTCGAGCGCACCAAAATTTAATAACACAGACCAACGAATTTCAGGAGCCCAATTTTTTAGCTTTCTCTAAATTACGTAGTAATGTACCAGAGTCATTATAATTATAAAAGGGTTGGTAAAAGTGTTTAATAAAAAAAATCATTATTATAATTCACAGCATCTTACTATAAAAAATATTCAAGAGGCCTTCATTAGCAAAAATTGGAAAAGTGAGGCTACTGAAAATTTGTAACATAACTAGTGTGTAATATGCAATCTCTTAGGATTTTGTTTTTTCAGAAAAATATACTTGAAAAACCATGAAAGCCAATTATGTAAAAGCTACACGAGAGTTAACCCATATAAAACTTGGGAAACAGAGCAGCAAGTCTATTGAAGACTTGATCTTAAGAATCGCATTGTTTAAAGAGCGAGAATCCTGCGACATTCAGTATTTGAAAGAAATCTTGCTTATTCACAAAACTATCCGTATATTCGCATTAATTAAGAAAGGCGCAATGAAACCGTGAAGTAGGTATACACGACCTATACGTATTCTTACAAATGGGGAGCGAAGTTTGCGTATTTGCATCGCGTCTCCCCTATTCACTGACATCATCTTAGAGGGAGAAAAAAACAAAAGGCCAGACTGCTCAAGTGCCTTCTCCTTCGTACTCTCCGGAACCCTGCTTATTAATATCTAAATATATGTCATTACTTTCTTCCTAGACGCACTTTTAAGCAAACCTGATATATGTATACTCATTTTAAATCCATAAAAATCTTTAAAAAAATTATCAATCTTTTTTTATAAATATAAATAGTGCCCTGAAAACACATCTTGCATGCAAACGTAATGCAGTTCGCATTAAAAATTTGCACAACTCTGACAAAAAAATTAACACAAAATTTATGTAAATTTCTTTTATATTATATAATTTACATATGTATTATAACAAAAATATATCTTATGAACGCTTAAATTCAATATTTACTTTAAATATTGCACATATAGGTTATATGCCTGTATGGTGACATTATTCTCGCGGTGAAGATGCCACTGTGGTTGTGGACCACTGTAACATCGGACATGCGAGCGGAATTGTACTCAGGCACTCCAAGCCCGCCTGAGCTACTTGTATAACCTAAATAAAATAATTTGTTTAAAATAAAGTATATCTCCTATGGTCTAGTGATTAAGATACCTTGCCCTCACCATTACCCTTAAATTTCTTCTCAACTTAAATTTTCTAATTCTTCTTCAATCAAAACCTAAGCTGATCTCAAAATTACAAAGCGAGAAGATCCACTGTGGGGTATTGTAACTGTTAAATACACTTATTTGATTTGATCTGTTCTCACCCACGAGACTCGGGTTCGAATATACTCTATTTAAAAAAATATATTTTCATTGTAAAATTACCTAAATAGATTATGTGGCACTACTTTTATTTTCGACGCAAATATGCGAAACAAATTTTGAACAAATAATCGGCACGGCAAACGATTTGATTAAAATTTGTGTTATAACTGACACGAATTTTGATGTTTTTTTATTAATTTTATTTATTATTAATTTGGGTTAAAATTTTTTGGTAAAAAATTAAAATTTAGCTTGTTGGGTTTAAAAAAAATTTTTTTTTAAACAAAATTATGGATAAAAAGAATTCTCTAAACCATTATTGTGCTTAATTTATTATAAAATTTAACAGTGGTTTTTATTTTTAATACAAAATTGCTTTTTCCATACATACCAATTTATTTAATAATACTAATTATTCTAATAACAATTTCAGAGCAGTCCCTTGAAACACAGCTGAGTTTCAAAAAAATTTTTGTTAGAATATAAATAAATGAATAAATCCAGTCTGTATGGATTTTATAGTAGTCCTTTGAAACACAGTTATGTATTTTAAAAAAATTGTCATTTTTGTATTACTTTTTTTAAACAAACAATCTGTATAATCTATATATATATATATATATTAGGGTGGCCCAAAAAAAAAAGAATATTTTTTTTTCTCGTTTCTTGTGAAAATATTTTGGTTCGTCATGTTTTAAGAGCCCTGTCAAAAGATCAGCTCGATTAAAATTTTTTTATGGGTCGCTCAAGATTTTAAATATTTCCAAAATCGTCAAAAATTGAATTTTTTTTTTATTTTAATTTTTTTTCTCGTTCCTATATTATTTTCTAATTTGAAAATAATAAAGATTCTGAAAATTTCAAATCCATATTTTGATAAAGGTCGCTCAAGATTAAAAAAAAAGTAGAGTATTTTGAATGTTTTCGAGCGACCTATATAATATAAATTTTAACGAACTTTTAGCGACCTTTAGAAAACAAAATATCGATTAGAAATTTACAGAATTTTTATTATTTTCAAGTTAGAAAATAATATCGGGACGAGAAAAAAATTAAAATAAAACAAAAATTCAATTTTTGACGATTTTGGAAATTTTTAAAAATCTTGAGCGACCCCTACTATCATATACATATATGATATTATTATCATGATTCTTTACTTAACGGTATTATGATTTTTTTATAATATTATTATATACCTTACTATTAAATTTAGTTACATGTTACATTAATAAAAAAATATTTCTGGGTGAAAATATTTTTTTACACAGTTTTCCTGGTTATTAAATATTAGTTTTTAAAACTGAAATATAGCGTTAAAAATGTCTTTCTTAAAAAAATTGTCAACTAAAAACTTTTTTCCCCGATGTCTTGTATAAAACTAAACTTATCCCCTTACTCAAGGTATATGGTATAAATTCGTTATCAATGTGAGAACTGGATAGATAATGGTCTAATTACCCACGCATCTGCATTGTTCGGTATTGTCCGGTGGTATGGTATCTCGCCCCCATATAGCACCGGCCACCTGATACGTGTCTTAATGATTAAGAGAACGGTGGGAACGGTTCCTGGGTGCCCAGTTCGCGTGACGCCCGGAAATGCTCATACATAGACCGCGATCTGACGCGAGTGACGTCACTAACCGGAAGTACATCTCGCCCCCGAAACCATATGCCACCTATGATATACTCGACTTTGTTCTTTTAATTTTATTGTCTATTCTGCACACCTGGGATTACAAATTCAACTAAATATTAAATTTTTATTTTTAAACATTATTTTTTAATTAATCATCTGTTAGCACAAAAACTTTAAACACTGTTTAAAGTGGTTGCTAATTAATAAACTTTTTGGGATGGAACTTTTTTGAAACCACTCTACTTTACCGTTAAAAGTGGAATTTTTAAATCTCTTCGTTCAAATCGGACAATGCGTGTGAAATAAACATTATTTTTGGTTTATTTTAAGAAAAAAATTTCTCACGGGTAGGTAAAGAAATCTTAAGAAATGGTCTGTGTACAAATCGTAAATGATCACCCTTCGTTTTGTTATTATACCATCTTGCATTTACATTGAATACCTATGTTATGTTTACGCTGTATCATAGAAATTATATTGTGGTATGTATAAGTCCCCAAAGAAAATCTCCAGGGATGCTTTTAGAAAAACTACTTACAACTTTACCTAAATAACTTTTAACGTGTAACAATGTTAGGAAGGCAGTTTAAATCTTTAAATTTCTTTATTTATTGCACATTATCTAAAAACTAAATATATCACCTATTAGTTCCCTTACTTGTTTGTATTTACGTTACCTGTAAAAGTTGATAAGGCATTAATTCATTAACAGATAAGACAAGTAGTTGACGACATATGGTAAAAATAATATTAGAATTTTGTATGAAAAGTAAATTTTTTAGCCATATGCCACAAAGTGTGCCTAGAGAGTAAAAGACAACACAATCGAGCAAACAACCAGGAGACTACCTATCCCTCTTCATCGGAAACCGTAGTTAATGATATTACGGTTAAAGTGTTAACAACATTGGTAATTTTAATTGTCCATTATGAATTTTAGGGTATTAACTGTAAATATCGCTATCAATAAATGAGCCGATTAGTGGGTAATGACAATTGTTCAAATTAACCGGGATAATTTGATTGTTGCGTATGTGTATTCATTTTTAAGTAATAAAATGAGTGTTAAATGTTGTTTTTTATGGTCGCGGTAATGGGCAATATTGACATAATGTATTTTTTTTAAATATACTGCATTCAACTTAATAGAAAATGTTGTTGTATATGTATAGCAAATCAATTTAACAAAAAATAAAAGCTTAAATATATATTGCATTAAGGCAAATTTTGATTTATGTCTGTATTTGTTAATGTAAGTATGTATGGCATTGAGGATAATCGGTAAGCAAGCAACTGCGAGCTGCGTTGGCTGGCTTATGGAAGCAAAGGCACAGCGCGTAGAGTGTACACGGGCAGGCAGCAACAGTTGTTCGGTTGCCGCAGGTGCTTGCTAGCAGTCCCTCTTTCTCGGCAGACGCCGTGACGGTAGCTGACGTTTGGTTTTGTTGCAGGTATTGACATGGGCGACTATTCTTAAAGTGGGGACGATTTCTGGAGGGGGGACCTGAACGACCAATAACGCTTCAACTTATGATGTCATCGGAGGAGGAGACAGAGTTCGGTTTGTACACAGATAAGCTCCTGAAGAAAACTAAAAGAACTAGACAGCGTGTTGACGCCGGCGAGCCGCGTAACTCATATTCCTCGATCCCGAACTTCAGTTCGCGACCGACGTTTCTTGGTGGCGGTAATAATTTATACGGCGCAATTTTTACCCAACAGCAACAGTTCGGTCTATTCGGACCGGGGTTTGCACCCGCGAAAATGCTTAACGAATTATTAGGCCGGCAAAAGCCGGATACCGGTGCTGACGGTGAAGATGTTAAATTTGACTCAGTGATAAGGTGCGACGGAAGTCCGCCTTCGGGAGAACAACTCGCTCATCACATGCTCAGAGACATCCTTCAGGGCAGAAAGCACGAATTGCTCGCGCTTGAACACGACCTGCGCAACGGCCAAGACCACATTATCAACAACAATAACAACGAACCCAAGGCAAGTCCAGAACGTAACGACGTAGATGCTGTGGCTATGAAGGAGTGCCTTTCGGATACTGCTGCTGCGGCCGCCGACAGGCAATCGGAACTTATGGAAGAGGCTCTCAACGGTATGGAGACGGAGTCTTTGCCTTCGCCGAAAGCGGAGCCGGCCAGTCCGGCTAAACCGGAGGATGCTAAAAAAGCCCGCGTTGAGAACATTGTATCAGGTATGAGATCAAGCCCTGCACCACCCCAAGTGAACGGATGTAAAAAACGAAAACTCTACCAGCCGCAACAACACGATAGCAATGCTGACCGGTTTATTGACGACGAAGAAGAGGAAATTGAACCAATCAGAGCCAAACGTGTAGAGAAAAATCTACTGAAATCCCAACTGAAGACGATGCAAGAACAATTAGCCGAAATGCAACAAAAATACATGCAATTGTGTACCCGTGTAGAACAAGGATCCGAAGAGAGTCAAGAAGTGGAAGAAATACCTAGTGATAGTGAACAAAGTAAAAGATCGGCGGCACCGTCGCCTGTAGCTATCAGGACACCGACACCCCAGATACAACAGCCTCCAACGTTGGCACAACAGGTGAGCAAACTAAAAATTAGTCCTCCGGGACCACCGTTTCACAACGGCTTATTGCACGAACACCAACAACATATGAGCAGTGCCGCCGCGATGTATTTAGGCGTGAGCCACAAACTTATGATGGAACAAGAAGCTAGACTAGCCAAAGAAGCAGCCCACGTAGCCGCAATGAACAATGAATCACACCACCAACAAAATCAAAATCATCATCATCAACCCCAAAAGCCAGAAAATTTTTCTGACAGACTACACATGATGCGTAACATTACGCCTACAAACTCTGATTTGGAAGGACTTGCAGATGCTTTAAAGACCGAGATCACGTCGTCCTTATCGAATTTAATCGACTCCATCCTTTCGAGATTTGTACATCAAAGACGATGCAAACAGCAGGATGCCGCTACAGCAGCCGAGCAGCTAAACAAGGATCTCCTAATGGCCTCACAACTCCTGGACCACCGAAAATCTCCACGAACCAAGATTGCAGAACGTCCGCAGGCACCGCCCCCGCAGCCGAATCAAAATCAAATGGTAAATGGTCATGGTGGTTGTCCACCTATGATGCCTGTTCACAATATGAACAACATGCATAAACCCTCAGATCTTCACATAAGGCCTCCGATGTTTCAGCCCCCAAAACCCCCAGGCATAAGTCAGGCTCCATTGTACTCAATGAACCATCCTTTCTGCGTATCAAAGCAGGAAACTCCCGAGCAAAACGAAGCTCTCAGTCTGGTGGTCGCTCCAAAAAAGAAAAGGCATAAGGTCACAGACACCAGGATCACTCCGAGGACGGTGAGCCGGATCCTCGGCCAGGATGGTATGGGAATGTCGCCCGCCTCCATGGACTCGAACCATTGTACTTCTCCACGGCCTCCCCCATATCACCAGCCGCCGCCGATGTTGCCCGTCTCCCTTCCGACGTCGGTGGCGATACCCAACCCCGGCCTTCACGAATCCCAGGTCTTCTCACCCTACAGCCCCTTCTTCCATGGACCAAGTCACGGACATCACATGGCGATGCAGGTAATAATAATAAAATAATTAATTGCATTTACATTTACATATTTTTTCAAATGTGCATTATTACAAATACTAATTATTGTTTTATTTTTATAGGCATCGTCTTCCCCACCTCGCATGCACAAGATGGAACGGGAATCACCCCCAATTCACCACCATCCCACCCTGCTGCACCCAGCCCTGCTGGCGGCCGCTCAACACGGGGGATCCCCGGACTACGCACACATGAGGCAATCAGGAGGCTTGAACATGGACAATGGTGATAGAAACTCCGATTGCAATTCCGGAGACATTTCCTACGATGGAATGCAGCCTACTATATCCTTTTTATGCAAAGATTTTAGCAAAAATCTTAGTGCACATCATGTATGTACTTTTAATTTTTAGAGGGTTATTTTAACAATACCGAGGTCATTTAACACCTACGGATTGTATGATTGACTTTCGAGAACTATAAGGTTGCCGTGATAGTAAAAAAAATAGTGCCGTCAAAATCTTATTCGATTACTTAATTTGATACGTAATCTTTCCTACTTAAATCGAATAAAATGAAGTTGTACAATATTCGTTTCTTATTTTAATGCGGTTAAATTCTATAGGTCTTCTTCTAAACCTTTGACTTGGGGTTAAGTTTTCAAACAAGAGAATTAAACTTAAATAAATCCTTATTAGAATCCTTACAAAGTTATCTGTCAGATATAAATTAATACTTACGTTATAAAGAAATCTAACTTTTACTTTGTAATTCCAATTTATAATTCACAAAGTCATTTCAAATTGTTTAATACTACTAAATCGAAATATAAAAACTCTGTAATTACAGACTTTATTATGTAATTTAGAAATTCTTATTTCATGAGAATATACTCAATTCGAACACATGCCAAGAAATCGCAATTGATCGCAACAAATCAATTAACCGATGGCAAAGTATTTTTTTGCAACTCTTGCAGTTCTGTATCTCTATTTATGTTTTTTTGTTTCTTTTGAAAATAGCCGAATATGTCCTTAACTCCTGAGCACTCGTCAACATTGACGCCAATGCACCTAAGAAAAGCGAAACTTATGTTCTTCTGGGTAAGATACCCTAGCTCGGCAGTCCTCAAAATGTACTTCCCCGATATCAAGTTCAACAAGAATAACACTGCCCAGCTAGTCAAGTGGTTCTCAAACTTTAGGTAAGTTATTTTATAATAATTCAAAACAAATTTTAAAAGAGGTTTTTCGTTAATTATAAAATTATTTAATAATTTACAATCGGCCCTCAGTTTCTCTTAAAAACAATATACTTGTATGAAACTAGCCCCCAGGTTCCGTTCCGAACACAGAAAAAAACTTGACTGAGTCGGAAACAAAGCATCGAAGTTTCATTTGCAATGTGCTGCTTTCAAATGAAAACTGCCGGAAAAGTTTTTTTATCGCTGCATGTTCTATACATAAAAGTGTACTGCTCTCTTTACTGACATGGGGTAAATTCTGGTTCACTATTCACTAATATTTAGATTTTTTCTATCATCTAACTAACCAAACCAAACATATATTGGGCAACAATAAAATGTTTTATTTTTAAATTAATCAATGGTATATTTGAGAAATATTGAAACGGTTTATTTAACGGTTTAAATAAATATGGTATGGGCAAATTAAATAATTGTTTTATTAAATTATTTAATATTTATATGAACTATGAAATTTTAATTTAAATTTAATATAAAATATGGCAAAAATGAATAACCACTTGTGGAGTGTATTAATTTATTAAAATGAATAAATTTTAATCCTTTTTAATAATTAATATATAAAAACAAATTTAAAACAAATAAAAATAAACATACACCTTTTAACATTTATTTAATTTAAATATTGTTTATAAATTAAACATTTGTAATATTAATTTAATACAATTTGCTGTGTTTAATGACCAATTTATTTTATAAAATAAAATGCTTTTTAATTGATTTAATTTAATATACATATTACTACGGTGATTTTTGTTTAAACATTATTTGTTTTTGATTTTAATGTTTTAAAAAAATTCTTTCTTACTTGGGATTAATTACCTAAAGAAGGGAGTAGGTAAGGTACTTCATTAACTAAAATGTTCGTTGAGTCGTTTAAGTTATTTGTTGATTTGTTAGGAACTTCCGACCGATTAAATAATTCAAAAAACAGTCTAATGACTAATTTGATATCAAAGGGTTAGAAAGAGAGTGAGTCATGTCAAATTCGTTCACTGAAAAAAAGACAGCCTTATGTATAAAGAAAAATGCCTCCCTACTAATTAGACTCAAGACCTTAATTAAGTTATTTTTAATTGAGCAATACGACTAGCGCTGGGGAATTTTTATATTTAAGGTGCATACATAATAGTTTTACAAAGATGGAACACAGCTAATTATAAAACGTTAATTAATTTTTTCGTTTTGCATTTTCCTTAATACTTCGATCGATTACAAGCTTTAATTTCTCTACGGCAAACTTATATGTTTACTGACTTAAAATTTCCATTTACCTACTAACTAATTAATAAACATTTTATATTGATATAATTTTTTTATAAAGTGTTTGGTTATCGATCGAGCCCGAGAATTATTAAGTAAAGTGAGTTTTGATGTTTTGTGTAAAAATTGTTTGATATCTGATAAACTAATAACACAAGGTAATTTTCATATTCTTTTATTACCAGCTAGCTAGATTAAAGTAAAGCGAAATTGAATTCCTTATCTAATCAATCTAATTCCATCTGTTTAAACAGAACGTAATAAACTTTCAAGCAATTGTGTGTTTATTATTATTGTTGTTTTCTTGAAAAAAAAATTATGGAAGCTTTTATGGAAATGAGAAATTTAATTGGAGTCGATTAATCAGGGTTAGGTAATATCCCGATTTAAGATAATTAATTACTCTTGTAATTAGAATCGGTAAGAAGGCGTAGATGGGTGTAGTATGGAGGCCCTGGCTAATGTGGAGTCATAATTTCCGATGCCCGGGGCCGTGAAATCGCTGCAATATGATCCAATTTTCTTTTAAAGCGACATCAGCTCTTCTTCTAAAACAAAAAAGCTTTTGTCTCGAAGAATAAAGCTCACTTGATTTTTGAAATCTGAGTAATAACAATGCATTTGTAAAAATAAAAAGTTTTAACTTATTTCTTTTTAAATTGGAAAAGATTGTCGTACCTAAGAGAGCTTACATAGAACAAAGGATATAATGCAACATTGTAAGTTCATTTCGGAATTGTTACTCCAAGTTTGTTAACGCTAATTAGTCATTGCTAATTAAAAAAACACAGTATTGAACAAGTTAAGGACAGAAACTGGTAAAAGAATGCGTCGGAATATTGTTAACTTTTAATAATTTTTTTAAAAGTGTTCACGGAACAAGAGAGCAAGAACAATGGCTGAAGATAGATGTACGGAATATCTAAACGCTTTGTTTAACCAAGTTTTAATTTTCATCACCGCGAAACTTTACCTTAATTGAGGATCTTGTTGTTGTTTACTGGGATTCTAGTTGTTTTCTTTACAAATACAATACATGGTTATAATAACGAATTTTTACAATAAAATAAAATAACGTTAAAATAAATCTACAATAGTATATAATCTTAAGAAGTTATCATGTATAAAAGCAAAACAGATGAATCAATAGTAGAATTTCCGTTAAGAGAATCTTTGTTAAAGTCTGGCGGTTAAATTTGGTACGTACGTTGGAAGACGCGTGCCTTCTTTCAAACAATAATTTCTTAAGACGTTCGGGGAACGTCTTAAAGACGCTATGTGAATGACTTGGGGAGGGTCGGATCAAAAAGCCAGCTGTTAAAATCTTTTGTATTAATGCACCGCACTACCTTGAAGGAACCGCTGTAACTTAAACTTACCTGGTGGGAATGGCATAAGCCACGTTTCTCAAGGTCTTGCTTTTATAAGGGTAAACTTTTGCAAACTATTTTACGATTTTTCCTACTTGGATTTGATAAAAAAGAAATAATTCACATGCAGGTGTTTTTAACCTCTTTCAATGTAAATTCTTGATGCGGGCTTGAACTAATAGAGGGTCAAAGAAATTTGTTAATAACTTTCCAAATCCGCGTGTGTGTTTTGTGTAACTTGGTTTATGTTATCTTTAGGATTAGAGCTGGCCGCACTAAACGCGTTTAACCGTAATCAACAGTTGTTTGAATTAATATTTTAGCATAGTTAATACAAGCATATTAATTATGCATGCCCAATTGGCCTATAATTGGCGTTTGAATTCAATGACATGACACTGGCATGTTTAGGTAATATTAATACCGTTTAAACGTAAACATTATATTACTCTAACCATTCAATACTATTAATTAATATTTTAAAAGAAATCACATAATAGTTTCTAATAATCACCATTTTATATAAAAACTTTTAAAAATTAATTTTATCGTGCTTTAAAGACAATTGTTTTACATTACTTTTCAAACTTGCTCTTATTACTTCAACAATATTGCTCTAGTGGCAATTAAAACCAATAAAACAACTTCATTACTTAAAACTTTTCAAATGCCAACATGTAGGTACGTATATCCCACAAAAAAGTCATTTCTTATTCCGAATTTATGTTAATGTACCAAGAGTATGTTTGGAAATGGGGTAAAAATTCTTTGTGTTCCCCAGTTTAAAAAAGCAATGTTCACCCAAGTAGTAGTAGTAGTTCGTAACGGTTTTTCCTCTTAACGATATAAACATCTGCCCCTATGTCAAACCTAAACTCGTGCGGTATTGTTCGCTTAATACGGGGATATTGGGGTCCGAGCTTTTTAAGGTATTCGATACAAAAGAACGAATTTTACAAAATATAAGCGGAAAAATGTTAGCAATTTAAAATGCTGTTTAATTAATGTTTTTTTTTTCCTTTTTTACAGAGAGTTCTACTACATCCAAATGGAGAAATATGCAAGGCAAGCAGTGTCCGAAGGTGTTAAGAATGGTGACGATCTTCACGTGGGGGGAGATTCCGAATTATACCGCGTTCTTAACTTGCATTACAACAGAAACAATCACATCGAGGTAAGTTATCGCCTTAAAAAATAATTTATCAAAAATGTTTTGTTTTGGATGAGATAATTAATTTTCTTTGTTTGTTTTAGGTTCCTTCAAACTTCAGATTTGTAGTGGAGCAAACGCTCAGGGAATTCTTTAAAGCAATTCAAGAAGGCCGCGATGCAGAGCAGTCCTGGAAAAAGTCGATTTACAAGATCATTTCCAGGCTGGACGATCCGGTGCCGGAGTATTTTAAATCTCCGAATTTCCTAGAGCAGCTTGAGTGACCGGTCTGTGATGCCGGCATGAAAACGGTGCCATGCGGTAACCCGTGGTTTCCCTGTGGTATCGTCCAGCGCTAATTTTTGGCGCCCAACACCAGGAAGAAGCGAATCGGTGACAAACAGCTGTCCACAAAGTTTTAGTTGTTATTTGCAATAAAGGTTTGAAGGACAAGGACAATTTTTAAGAGTATGTTGTGTTAAGTTGGCAGAACGGACAATTATACTTGCCTCAGGCTTTATGTTCGTTGATACGAACAGTGAAATATAAAAAAATCAATTTTCCAGTGATTACCTGAATATTTACCGGATAGAATTTATCGGCGTCAAGTCCTCAGTTTTTTTAAACCAGCAGTTAGCAAAGTTGAAAATCTGCACTGTTTTCGTTTACTTTTGGCATGTTTTTGTTTATTGCCACTGTAAACTGTGCTGTTTCACGATATCCTGTATATATCCAAATTGTATATAGTATTTATCTCTTATATTATAATTTTTATTATTATTATAATATTATCATTCCTAACCAAAGTTATATTTTTGCTAGTCGTTTTTCGCATATAGCAACCACATTGGTTGCTTGTGCTATTTTATTATTTATTACATGGCTTGCCAACTTTACTGTATAAAAAATAAATTGTGAAAAATTGTAAGTTCTGAATTTATCCTACAAATATTTATACCTCGCAAACTTAAATTATATTCCACTTTATTTAGGAATTGCAAAATTGTACAGATATATAATCTTAAAGCAACAATGCCAGAAATAAAGTTTTTTTTTGTAAAAAATATACAAAAAAACGTATTGTCTGTGATTATTGCAAAAATCGAAATTTAAAATTTACAATTTTTTAACAACAGAATCGTTGGCTTGTGATGAAATTAATATTAAATTGGCTAAAATATTTTGAAATAGAAAATATTTCCCAATATTTTTCCAAAAAGTAAACACAAATATTATTTTTATTCATTGCATTTAATACATTGAAGAAATATAATGTTTGTGAGAATATTAAGTTGATATGCTTTTTAACCGTTCATTATGATTTTATTTTCTCAAGGAAAGGAAACAAAAAAATATTTCTTTCTCACTAAATTATAAATTTAGGTCCAAAATCAAAATTTCTTGTATATATTTTAAAATTGTGATACTACTAATGCATTAATAAATTTATTATGCATTACAAATTATAATTGATCTGTTTTTAGTTTCTTTTCCAAAAACACTGTATTTTATGAGAATGTTTGATTTTTTGTGTATTATTTGTATTCTGGACTAGTTGCTATATTTTATTATTATTTAAGTAGCATATCTTCTTAATATGTTTTTAATTTATGTTGTAGTATTATTTTTTTTCACTGGCACAATATTAGTGTAGATTTTATGAATCTCGCAATCACTGTGTGTGGGGCAACTAGTCAATAGTAAATAATAAATATATTATGTATTATTTTTTATTTTTTATTTTTTTTGCTATTATTACGTGACAGTTTACAGTGGGGGTAAAATATCAGAGAGTCTTAATTTTAGTGCGACAATCGCAATTTTTGCCCAATTTACCTCTATGAAAGTGAGTCTTGTGGGCAAAAGTTGTGAGGTGTCGGTTGTGTAAGGCTTTTGACCGAAAAAAACGCAAATTGTACATACATTTCGAGCTCAGTATTCCTTCTCTAATCCCGCAATAGTCGAGTCACAATGCAAAAAGGCCCCGAGAGTATTTTATCTTAGCCTACAGCTAGGCTATGTAAGTGTGATTTCGCTGTTCCTAAAAGTTCTATATATTCGAAACTGCCGAAATTCGAAAGACTGCCGTTCATTTACGATTTAGTTGAATGTTTATTTTGAATTAAAATGATTATTTCGTTTTCAAAATTGATAGTTTGGGTATTAAAAAAATAAGTTTGTTTTAAGTTGATCTCGGGGCCTCTCAGGTACATTACATTGAAAAAACGTTTTTTAAGATGAGAAAATTGAAAATATTATCTATAGTTGTTTATTAGATTAAAAGGTATTTAACGTTGTGGATTGTAAGGTACCCAAATGCATTCGGTTCTCAAGCAACTAAACGCCCGTTTCTTCAAATCCAATCTGTATTTACTAAAATGATGATGTTTAATAATTGTAAATAAGCTTATCTCCATACAATAGATGTTTAACTGGTAGAAAATGCACATATTCGGTGTTAATTTTTAAATAAGTAATATAAATAGCGATCCGGGTATATCTTGAGTACAAATGATTGGGAACCGGGTGCAAGTGACATACGTACATATAGGGATAAATGAAGAGAATACCCAAGTGCTTTAATTTTAAATTGTTAATTAGTGCAAATCCTGCAGATTTTACTTGGCTATGGGTCATCATAATTATAAGCAAGAATACACATCGCACGGAAACTCGTCTCCTTCGTACACTCCATTCTTCTAAAGACGACTTCAAACGTTTTTTCACTAGATTAATAATTTGCAGATATCAAAACTGAAATATATGGCAAACTTAATGTATCAATATATAGTTGATAGAACATTGTAACTCTTTAATTGGTGTATAATATTAATAATACTAATATTAATAATAATAAAACTAGCTTTTAAGATAATAATTCAAAACAGAAGAAACGGTCTGCGTCTTCTGGAATGGACTGTATTGTAAGAAAGAGATGAGAGATGATTTTTGCATATGATTATAGTGGTCCGTGAACTTGACAATTAAGACCTCAAAAAGTTACTGTTGGTTTTAACAATTCGCCCAACTTTAACTTATTGTATGCTAAAAACAATATAATCTCACAGATAATTACCGATTATGATGACTGAAATGTTATTCAAGCGAGCACGCCGCTGGTGCTCGCATCAATTCGCGCTTAGCCGAGCAGAAGTCGGCTACAGTCCCGAATTGTTGAAGACAAATCTAACAGATGAATTCAGAAAAGACCTGCAAAAGGTCACGGAGGAATTACATTGCTTTCTGGATGAGACTGTATAAGTAATTTTTGAGGTCACTCCAAAAGCTCCGTCTCCAGAGGGGGGCGCGGGTCGTAGTGTAGTCTCCCTTCTTTAGGTAGGACCCCAGCATTATTTAGTTTACATTTTTATATTCGACTGGACCACACACTAAGCGTGCGATGAGGTTTTCTGAAATATATCGTTTAAGGGTACCTACTAGCAACATCACTTCAATTTGCACCCATCAAATTACATCCAAAACTACCACAACTATATATAAGCGCATATAAACCAGATTTTTTTACAGATGTAGTGCCACAAGTAGAAAGAATAATACTATTTTTAATACACAAATAAAGTATTTTGCAAAATTTCCGATAATAAAGACATAATAGTTTTTTGATGTAGTTTGTGGTGTTTGGCGTGGGGTTAGGGTTGGTATAGTAAGGTGTGGTCTACGTAACGCGTTTTTGCAACTTTTGGCCGTTTCGAGGATTATGATTTGTGATTTGAGTTGTTAGCATTATTTGGTTCCATATGCACACACATTCGGACGACATCTCTGGTGAGCGGCCACAACTTCCGCCTCCGGTATGCGTGTGGAGGTTGATCTTGTTCTCTTTGATTTACAGGAGGTACTTCTACTTTACAGGCTTAAATAAAAAATAAAAACAGTGTTCGGAAAAAACGTTTAGGTCACCGGTTCAAAAATGATACATAAAATATCACGAAAAAAGTACAAGCTTATTTTAAGCACCTCTGCGCCTTAAAAATTAAATTTCGAAGCAAAAAAAATGATATGAGTGTGTATAACCAAAATCTGCCTTATTCTATTTTCTTATGACGAAAATCTCCTACCGTTATAGCGCTATTATTTGCTAGTGTATATCGTTCTCCATCACCTGACACTGACAATTTTTAACCATTTCCATAATATTAATTATCAACTAATCTAGTCCAATATGTAATACATAGAATTTTGTGTGAGTTGTAGTATACATGTACAATTATTGTTGGTAAACAGCCGGGTGTCTCCGTTGCATTCGTCTCAGTTGACAGTTGAGTTTAGAAACTGTGTTCAGTTAACATTACGTTCCGTTACAGAGTAGCCACTAGTCATCGATGATATTTCCGTTTTACCTCTATATCGGTTCACCACACTCAGCCAGTTGACGGTCGCGCGCTTCAACTTTGCCGCCTCCGACGCCACTTAATCACACCGTTGTTAAACGGGGGGCGGCCGAGTCACCGCGGACCGCCGCATAATAACGCAGATCTACCGGAATGCACCATAAACAGTGTCGCGACATATCTCTTATTTATTACTATGCAGACAAACCACTTAATCCTAATCTCATCAGCAAACATGTCTAACTTAATCTAAATTTTCAAAAGAAGAACATAAAACTACTTAATTCTTTGCTTGAAATGTATCTGCAGTATTATGTTCAGTTTTCCTGTTCTGTTTTTGGATGATTTGGATACACATGTTTGGGGTGTGATTTGTTGTGGTTGGTTCTGTATATCAGAATATTGCTTTTCGGTGGAGTTAGTCTTCAGGAGGGTTCTCAAACTGAAATAGTCATAAAAAAGCCATACAAAAACTGAAGCAATAGAAATGAAGGCAACCAACCAAAAAATGCAGTTTACTCGAAATTTCGCGAACCGGCAATTTATTCATTCAAAAAAACTCACTGGGCCAATTCGTCCGTCAAAAAAGTGCCTTCAAAGTTGTTTTTACGAAAAAAAATTACAAATTAAGGGCCCTAAATAGACCAATGCCCAACCAAAACTCTCCTGAGGACTTTGCCTGCCGACTGTATTTTTTCTGGGTTTTACCAAGAGACACTCGGTAATACATAACATAAGATTATTTCATAAATATTATATTGTTATGCTAATAAGTCGGCTGATCGGGTATGCCCGTAAGGCTCTACTATTTGTGGTATATAGTAACTTTGATTAGAAGTAGATAATAACATACAGAATCAATGGTTTCAGTTACCCCTGTTATATACACAGTTTACGTTAGCTGTTATTGTTATTTGTTGAGGTTTTCGCGACCGAATCCCGGAGCTGGACCACCGAAGTACCGGAACTATCCGTTGATAGTCACTTTTGCCAAAAGGTGTCGTGGTTTTGAACTTTACATGCAAAACCAGCCAACAGACTTTTAAAAAAGCCAGGGCTCAGCCATAAATACCACCAGGTTATTTATAATTAGTACCAAAACTTTCGATACACTTTTTATACTAACCCAATTGTTTAAGTCTGTGCCCTATGTATAGCATTGGCGTTGTCGTTGTGGATGTAAAGTTCGAGAACGAGGCCACCTGTACATACACTGTAAATATACATTCACATGCACACTTTTTGTACATTAATTCACTAAGCCATATCTCCACTGAGAAATTCAAAATTACCAGGTCTACCTATTATATATACCATAATGGTTCCGAGAAGCGTGCAATACCCCAGCTCCTTGCGGCGTTCGGTCGCGATTGCCACCCCTATTAAGTTTAATTTCGTCACCAGGTGGCTGTTTGGTCTTCCTTGTTAAAAA